CAGAGCTCGCCTCTCGAGCTACGGAAGCGACGTCTACTTTTTGCTCCCCGCGTCGATGAGGAAGAAGAAGAAGAAGCATTAGTACCGACTTGCAAGGACTCGAATCGCGTATTCAAGGACTCGAATCGCGAGGCAGTTTCGAAAAAACCGAAGACGAGGGAGGAAGCGACGGTGCGCGTGTGTCGAATGTAAACGCCGGGGCGAGCATCACGAATGCGATTTTCCCCTAGCTGAAAAGTAGGCGAACAGTTGTGGAAAACGAATTATGCTACATACTTTTCAACGGCCGTTAACATGCAACGGTCGTAACCGTTCAAGTTTATCGTCAACGAAAGCTTCGGTAAACTATAAAATATAAAAAAATATAATATAAGCTTCAAGAACTATACATTTTAAAAGCTTGTACTAAAAGTAGTATGAAACCTCCATTACTTCTGATCGATCATGAAGATAATCCTGAAGAAATGATTCCCTTTAATACATAGATCAGTAAAGTACACATGGATTTGTGGTCTTTCATACTCATAAATAGTGCCCCGGTGGAATAGTTGCCCAGTTTTGAAGGAAATATCAAGATGTATTACCTCTGTGAACTTTTCAGATTGTTTTAATCCCAGATTAGCCTCGTAGAGATATCTGATCTTAACCCAGAAGCGAAGGGAAACACAGGAGGCCTGAATTAGCTTTATGCTTCTTTTGAATATTACTTTTTGCGAATAAAAGGCAGGAATGATTCACGACTACATTCGAATTTACCTTCGTTATAACGACATGTTTCTTGTGACTGCGTTCCTATTATATTAATGAACCTTTCAGAACTGTGGGAGTTGCTGCATTTCACGGATTGAACGGGAAAGCGAATCGTTTCAAGTTTTGTTTGAAAATAATATAGCCACGTAGAAAGAAACGTCGAAATGGAAGCGTCTGTTTGTCCGTCCGGTTGCATCAATCCTAAACGAGGAAAAAGCGGCACCAGCCAGCGGCAGGGGAGGTTTATTCATTTTTCCGGGTCGAGTTTATTTCCGTAAGAAATAAATAGGTCGCGCATCAAGCGTTGGCAAAATAAATCGTACGTATTCGTTTCTTGCCGCGTGTAACGTTAAACAGACTGCTAACAAGCAGGCACGATTTCCAGGGTTATACTCAGCAAAAGATAACGTAGCTTTTTTTTTACACATATTCAGCTCGCATTAAAAATAATTGTATCAACTCATTCCGCTCGAGGAATTAATTGCATCGCGAGCCAGAACGTAATCTCCTTATCGAAATTAATTATCTCGATCGTAATTATCGGGAAAGCGAAGAGAAACTAATTATCGTTCAAAAGGAAAAAGCTTCGAAGGAAGACTATTTGTTCGTGAACTCCATTGATGACACCTTTCTCTCCTCCTCCGATATATTCTGTCTGTAGGCAGGAAATTTTAAGCAGTTCGACGCTACTGTCGAATATCGATGGAATATTTAACGACCTATAGTCCCCGTGTCGCGGAGCGGACCTCCGCATTCGAGTCACGCGTCACCGAACATCCGGTCATAGTTTCCTGCCGGTGTAAACTACACACATCTCAGGCCACGATTGGCGCCTATTTTTGTATTTCGCTCGTCTCGTGCGCGCAGCAGCCTCGAAAGGCGATTCACAATTGTCGCGGGCAACCGGCCGGCGCGCATTTCAACGACTTAATTCGTGGAACAGCCGAGGCGACGACGACGTGCGTGTGTACGTGCGTATGCGTTTGCAAGAAATAAGAAACAAGAAAATCGCCGACAGTGTCGATCTTATCACGAAGAACGAGAGCGTCCTCGTTTCGGAGGACAGGCTCCGAGAAAACGCTTCTCGGAGTTTAATTGTCTCGGACAGATATTCACCACGCCGTCTTTTTTTTCCTCCCGATTCGGATATTTGGGTCGCGGTTGAAGGGCTGTGGGAATGGCGGTGAAATCCTGGGAGACGGACGCGCGACTATTCGTTGGCAAAAAATCCTCCGGCCGGGAATATCCATCTTTGGCGAGGAACGGTGTTCCGTTCTGTGGAGACGGAAGTTCGAACGCGGGATTTATGGAAGTGTAAGAACGATTAATGGTGCGTGCTCCGCGGAAAACCGTGGAGTTTAGAAACGATCCGAGAAGATGTATACATATATTTGGTAAAGGATTGTGAAATAAAAATTCTGAGATTCGTTTCTATTAATTTATTAATCAAAATTCAATCGAGTTCTTTTCTTTATTTCGTCGTTACATTTATTATATTCGTTGAGTCTCGCATGTCTATGCAAATCAGGAGCCGTGCCTTCTAAGAATCGGCCAATCATTTCGCGCAAACGTCATTTTGCCCAAACCGTCGATCGCCGAGAGGGTATAAATACAGAGCCCCGACGCTCCTCGAGTCACTCGATCGGCCGGTCGAGACACCCCTTTTCCCATCCCATCCCAGTATGCGTGTGCGGTGTGCGGTGTGCGGTATGAGTATGAGTGTGTGGGTACCGGTACTAGTGTGCAGTATGCCTTCCAAAATTCCACCCTATAAC